CATCCTTCTTGCAAATTAGTTACATGTCTTTTCAATACATGGCGGGTAGGAGGCTGTACCGACGATTCCCACTCCTACCCGCATGCACTGTTCGGTCTGTGTATACAGCTCAGGGATGAAACACAGACTGCATTATGAAATGTTCTCCTATACATGACACTTAATTCCAATCTTTTTACCCCACTATTCATCATACCAAGTCGTTTCATCGAGGTTACATAAATTTTCTGGATAAACTCACTGATCCACAATCAGTGGACCGTCCAGTGGCAAGTGCTGGGTTGACATCGTCCGGAGTGGCCTTGGAGAAATTGCTCGTTCCCGGGACAGTGAATAGCAATTAAAACAAACAACCCAGGACAGTAGACCTGCACATAGCTACAGGCCGAGCTAGGCGTCTCAGTGGTATTCAGAGCTGTATAACTTCTGGATTCCAAGAGCAACGCATTGCTTGAAATATTCGAAGGGAAAAAAGTGTTCCGTTTCTGTAATGGCATTCACTAAAAATAGCAACAGCTGAAGGACGGGAAATGTTGTGGGAAGTAAAAAAACTGCTCTTTCACAAATCAAATCTATGCATTGTGAAAAGGTATAGGAGCGAGAAGGTGGAGATGGGCAGGCTCCGCGGAGGAGCAGGGATGGCTCATTCAGGACCATTGTGTTGTGCTCCTTATACTTTGCATATTTTAAAATTTGAATTATATTTATAATGCTTCATTTCATGTTTCGTTTCATTTCATTTTATGTCCCAGCAGCCAATAAGTGGCGGCGCGCATTGAGAGGTCGGAGCGAGCATGTTTCGCTTTTTATGTCATTATAAGCTGTTGCGGGTATTGGAAATTAGAGGCATGGTCTAGAAGTTAGGGATCGCAAGGACAGTATTAATTTGAGCTTAAATTCAGCAATCAGGATACAGTAGGGTGTTAGAGCTGATTTATTCGGCGTTTGGGCTGTTTGACTCTATTATCTGCTGCAAAATTCCCACCTGATAGTTTTCCTTTGTCCCCCAACTTTTGAGTTCGAGTTTTTTGTGTGCTCGAAAGGCCAAGACACAGCAGCGATTGCAGCCTATTACATTAAACTACTGAAACTGTGTATTCTTCGAAGTTTAATCTTGTAGCTATCTTCATGGCTCCCGAATTGTAAAATTGGCCTTCATATTGACTTGAACTCATGAACAGGTCACAGTGAAGAGTGGAAGCTGATTTTGACTTTTATTTATCCCTCAATTACTGGAAAAAAGAACTTCCATTGGTTCTCAGGTGACAGTCCAGCATGCAGAATGCGAATTAGGTTGAAGCTCAGGCACTATTTTTTCAAAGTATCGGTTTCATGGATTTAGAGCTGAATTATTCGGGTGGATACAGACGCACACAAAAAGTGCAAAAAAGTCTTGCGTCAGTACTATTATCGTCTGTATAGATCTTGGCGGCACATGGGCGATTCTTTTTTTCCTACTAAATATACATTCACAAATGGAATTTTTTCAGTTTTCTTTCACCAGGAAGTGTCGCTCTCTGTTACTGATGATGAACCAACGGGGGAACAGTGTTTGATTGAAATGAACTGCACACTGTGTGCTCACTGATAGCGACGCGATAAAAATGTGTTTCTGGAAGAGGGCAGGGGCGGCCAGGACCCGCTGCACTCGGTGTGTGTGTGTGTGTGTCCTGGCTGTTCCTGGTGAAATTACACCGCGCTTTCTTTTGGTTTTAGCATACAAATTATACGGTCTGGAGAGGGTGAGGCATGCCAAAATGACTGCTCCAAAATTGGCAGGAGTTGAGAAGGATTCAACGGGTAATTTATGTGCCCCGTGAAGTGACATCGTTTTCTTCATGTGTGCTCGCATTGCAGGGATTCCGGGTGGTGTGGTGGAATGGTGCCATGGCGTTATTTCAGGAGATCCGGGGAGCGTCTTTTGCAGCTCCTTCTGCTGGCTGTTTGCGTATTTGGCTTATACACGATTTTCCACGGTCCAAAGTCGCAATCACTGCGCTCAGTGAGGTACGATAGGGGAGAATTTGCGGGAGCGTTTGTTGGAAGTGCGGCTCAACAGATACAGAGTAAGTACCGTAAAGGTTTTTTTTTCTGGAATTTATTTTCTGGTCCATTGATTCGTCATCCAAAAAGAGCGCTTAGTTTTTTGCCACTGTTGTGATAACACTAAGGCCATGCGCTGGGCGGTAGAAAACACACGGCTGTTACTCAGTGCGTTGCAGAATCTACTTTCCCAACCAAAATCAGACGGAAAGTGTTAAGCCGTCCTAAGCAGTGGGAAGTTTTCGTAAATCTACTGATAAGTGCTCTAAGCCGAAAATGATCTCGCTTTGTCACTTTTTTTTGTTATATTTGTTTTTTTACATTACCTTTTTTGCTCACTTTGTTGCACACTTATTTTCATCTTTCTGTAACTCAGTTTGTTACAAAATGCTTTATTGTAATTGCCGCATTTTTGCTATTTTGTCCGTGGTGAAATTCAGTAGCGCTGTTCGTTTTGAGCACTGCTACCACTAGATTGTTTTCCTTTTTAAAACTTTTTTTTGGTTTACAAATAGTTCTTGAAATGCATTATATGGGACTTAGTGGGCCGAATCATTCTTTTTCAAGTTCACTCTTATGTTTTCAACTTTTCGAATATATTGCGCCAACTTCTTTTTTAGTTTTCTTCCTCCCTTAACTTATAATTCAGAAAAACGAATTACCACTTATCCACGCTTCTCTTGTGTGTTTCAGCTTCAGCAGTACCTACATGCCCATGTGCCATTGATACATTAGCATTGCTGGCTTTATCGTTTGCGTCAATCTTTTCAGTCTTTCCCACTCTTCCTCATTCATGCGCTACATTCCTTGTGCCGTAGAATTTTCATTTATTCATATTTTATGAATGTGATCAGCCGCCGCTTGTCACAAAGATGCTCAGTGCTAGGCTGCATCTACTGAGTGTTGGAGCGCAGTGCTAATTTCCAGCTAACCTAACCATGCCAGTACTAATCGGAACGGACCAGCGAGCTACAACGGTGTTGATTTTTTCATTCACAGCATCATCATTTTGCAGTGAAAGATGGCGTCGATCCTTTTGCACAATATAAGCATCTCGATAAGAAGGACTGGCATGATTATGAAGCGATGAAAAGCGATGCGGCAAGGGTAGGTCCTGGAGAAGGTGGCAAGCCGGTGGTCATTCCAGCTGATCCTAAGATCAAAGAAGAGCAAGTATGAAATTTGCTTGTGTCATGCTTAATTTTTTTACTTGCGTGAACAACTGATATTGCTTCTCGTGCAGCAGCAGTAGCAGCTAACAACTTCTCCATTCTGCTCGCTCCTGAGCTCTCCACATCCATTTCCATGCTTATTTAAGCGAATGCTGCATCGCACTGGCGGCTTTCCCACTGTTTGTTAAATATCAGCTCGAATACCATTCAACAGCAGCGGTCCTCTTTGTTAATCAGTTTTCTCACTCTCGGCGCACGATTAGCTCCTCTTTTTGCTTTTTAGGACTATACTAAAATTCTTTTACTTTATGCATGATAAGAACTCTAAGATGATCCTTACCATTTTGTGTAGAGTCCTTGATGCCAACAGTGTGCAATCAGTCGTCTAAGCAACCCTTCTGGGTATTCTTGCCCTGGATTACATGCTTCGTGTTATTAGCGTTTGCCCGCCATTTTTTTTTGGGGGAGAGGGTGGGGGGCTTCTTCAAGTACTCGCTTTTTTCGGGCAAATTTTTCACTACAATACGTGTCTGTTCCGGTTGTCAGTTGTACTTATTTACCAAGTAATGCCTTCTTTGGTTGCCAGCGTAACGTAGCTTCGGTCTTCCGAAAGCTATCATTGTTGAATCGTGTCGTTTTTTGGTGCTCGGTTAGGTGATGAAGTAAGTTCACAAAATGCAGAAGTAGATGCAAAGATTTTTTTAGGACAAGTGCGATATTGTCGTAGAGTAAATGCCATATAGTCCATACGTTGTTTTTAGTCTTATTTATAAATAGGAAAATTCGTAGAAGGCTCACCTTGAATTCCGGGCATACTTCATAAAAGTAGTGTTTTTTAGTTCTCTGTAGTTTGCAGTGCCGTTAGTAATGCTGTAACTTACATTCCGATTATAAGAATTATTTCGTGCACTTTCAGGATAAATTATATCGAGTGAATGGTTATGATGCGTATATTAGCGATTTGATAGCGCTGAATCGTTCAGTCAGAGATATTCGACATCCAGAATGCAAAAATATGAAGTATATCGAGCGGCTGCCAAGCGTTGCAGTGATATTTCCATACCATGATGAGGTTTGTCGATTTTTGCTGTTGCTAAAATTGTCTCAATTTTGTGCTGGCTCATCCTGAAATTGTTTTTCGACTGATTTGGTATCAAATCAGTTCTGGAGATGGAAGGAGAAGGAAAAGTGGTTAAAGAGTTGATACTGATAAATTATTTTTCACGCTGTTTTCCAGTTAGCCGTCAGTGAGAGTTGCGTCTTTTGGAAGGGGGTTTTTTTTTTCTCAGATATTTCGAAAAGAGGTAAATTTCGTGCAAAGAATCACCTCGCCCATTTTTTTGGCAATCAGAAAATGTTGCTTATTAGTGTGAGGTATCTACTGGTAACTATTTGGACGGCCTCAGAAGCGATGGCCTGCATATGTAATGTATTATAGCTTATGCAGAGCAGAATGGCACAGCCACAATCACTAGCTGCTAACATCGAGAGCTTCATACTAATGATTATAGTTTATGATCACTGTTTTTTCGAAAAATCCCGTTTGAATGGCCCCACATTTTCCATCTGTGCTCATTTTAGCACAATTCAACGTTGCTGAGAAGCGTCTATTCAATATTAAATCGATCACCAAAAGATGTGCTGAAAGAAATAATCCTTGTTGACGATGCGAGCACAAAGCCGTTCCTCAAGGAACCACTTCAGCAGTTCCTCATAAATGCTCATATCGATCACATTGTGAAGATTGTACGAACTCAGTGAGTTTGTATCAAAATTCCAGTAATTTTTTTAATGCACAGGCAACCGCATCCGTCTCCTTACTCTCTCCATAGAGGCAGCATATCGATGGCGTGTAGGATATCATTACGAGCACAACAAAAGATTTGTTGTTTTGCTAACTGCTAACGGATATTCTGTGTCATTGAGCGCTGGAGTGAAAAAAAAAAAACGATGTTACTTTAGACGACTTGGAGTGTAATTCGCACTCACAGTATTTTCTGTGGGTACTGACTTGAAGTATGCTGTACAAAGGTCTGCTACAGCTGCAGCTCTAGTATTATTCTTCATATCAATCTACACCGATTGCCCGGACAATTCTGGTAGCATAGCACAAGATATCTTTTAGTGGGTGATTTTCATGAATCTTCAAAATAGGAAAAAACCGCGCTCGCAAAGAAAGCTGCATTCGTATTATTCGATTACAGTTGTTTAGGAAACGAGAAGGATTAATTCGGGCGCGACAAGTTGGCGCCAGACATGCAACAGCAGAAGTGATGGTATTTCTGGATGCACACTCGGAAGCCAATTATAACTGGCTGCCACCTCTTATTGAGCCTATTGCACTGAATTACAAGTAAGACTTTTTGAATTCCAAAAATTGATGTCTGAACTAAAATTTTGCTGCTTTTTGGAAGTCAAGGCTCTTTTTGCTGCTTTTTGGAAGTCAAGCTAATAGTCTGTTTACTGGAGTTCAGACTGTTTTCCAGCTTTCAGCTTGAGTCAGAGTCCATTTTTAGACGTTCGAATTGGTGTCCGATGTTTAGGGGCTTGGGTCTCCAAAAAGCGGTCTATGGAAGCTCCGAACAAAATTGATATTTCATATTTCCTGCAGCTTAATGTGATTTCTGAGACTTGTAAACTAACTTCCTCATAGAATTGGAAATTTTTCGCGCTGATCTTGCATGAGTGTTACTGGATATGAAATAGTTCTTTTCAGGACTGTGGTATGTCCATTTGTGGATGTAATTGACTGCAACACGTATGAGTATCGTGCCCAGGATGAGGGAGCCAGAGGTTTGTTCATGTTACAAGTTATGCGTTCCGTATGATAAAAAATATATTACGTTCATGCGTTTTAGCGATAATCCTCGGCGTAATATTGGTATGATATGAAAACGAAAGTTATGGAGAGGGGACGGAGGGGCGGGGGGGGGGGGGGGGGGGGGGGGGG